TGTCAGGAACTCCTCGTATAGCAACCATAAGTTATCGATAAAAGTGACTACCGATGTATGGATCCATTTTTAGCCCCGATCGAGGGTACACGGCGTCGTTTTGAGTTGGATTTTACGCCGGTATGTCAAAAAATGGCCTCCGAAGAAGCCGATGTCGCTATGCCCGCGCTCGTCACGTGCTGCGCCCTCGAAGCGCGGACTTCACGCGGCCCGCTCGGTGTCGGCGGCGCGGCCTCCATTCCCGCTAGTGTCGCGTCCACCGCTGTGATCGGCCTTCGGTTCACAATGGCGCCGACATGTGTCAACATGGCTCGTCCATCGGTGATATGGGTAAAAGGCAAATTTCCCTGGGCCTCCTTCAGAAAATACTCTGGGCTTTCCACCAATGAGCCGGGTGTCAGGGCGGAGCGGGCTGCGCGCGCTGGGGTAACCCGGGGGCAGCCGAAGACAAGAGTAACGGCCCGGGCCGGATGGACAGCCAGAGAGAGCAGTCGAGGCTTCCAGGAGAGGAGATGATGGGGAAACTGCACATGAGAAATTCTAACGGTCTTAAAGCTCTGGTGAGGCCTAGAGGCCATCGCATTCCACGTATCACAATTTTATCTCGTCTAAATCTGGAGCAACGGGTACCTACCTAGAGGTCAGCGGTTTTGCGTCATTTTGAGGGGAAATACAGAGAAGATGATAATACCTAAAGGAAAAGCGGCAGAACCGAGGTTGGCATCTGGAAATCTTACAAGTGGTACATATATTGTGCACCTAATTTAATTGTCAACATTAATAACAGCGCAGGGAAAACTTCTTGAAGCAGCTGCGCATGGTGGTCATATTTGATATTTACGCACTAAATTCAGCTCGCCATAGGCTGAGGTATCTAGCCAGCTTCCATTAGCTGTAGGTAGTTATATTATGGGCATTAAGAAATTTGTCGGTTCAAAGACGAATAGAGAAAACTGTTAAGCTAATGATTTAACCTCAAAATGGTGTAAAAACACCAATATCCTAAAACAAACACGCTGAGAGGCTGTGAGCTTTCGACTGAATCTTTCCTTAATCTGAATGTAAGTTGTAGGTATAGGGAAGAGCGGGACACTTCGTGCATGGGGCACATTCGTTTTCAGCAGTTAATGGGAACACGAGTGACTGCCCGAGCTCAAGGTAAATTATGAAAATATGTCTATCATTGCCGACCCTCGTTCACTGCAGAAAACAGCACAGGAGCTGCTATCATGCTTAATAAAAACGCAAAGTTGTATTATTAGTGCGCTTTCCAAACATTTTTCATGGCATCCATTTTCGTGATCCTGACTCGGAAATGTGGTTCAGCTTTTCAAAAGTGGCGGCGAAGAAGCTCACTCTATTCACGGAACTGTTGCAAGCTTCTCTGTTGCAAAAATGTCATTTTTTCAACAAGAAATTTTGAAATACACTACAAATAACGTTATGGGGCAGGTTCGTCGCACTGCCTAGGGGCACATTCGCGTAAGCATTTGGAAACTATTTTTCTATAGCAGATAATGTTATCTTATAACTCTCGGCGTGCTGGGTTTTACAAAAGGCCCAAAGACAGCGTAACTCCCCATTTGGATTAGCATGTTGATTAACGTATCCGCTGTGCCGGCGTGGAACGTCCAGAATTAGTGCAATCCTGGGAACCCAGCCGCGGTACCTGCAAACGGGAGAAGGTCGTAAGGCTTCAGACTACGGATGGCGATACAGCGAGAACTGAGAACGAGAAGGGCGGTCGTCGGGCCCAGGGTATATTGACTTACACGTGCGATTCAACAATCAGCTGCCTTGTAACAAAGCAGGCGCAACGTGATTCCATCAACTCCAAAAGCAGCTCCACCTGCGGTGTCAGCTCATTCTGGAGCAGCGGTCCCGAATCAGCGTCAGGATTCAGGAAGAGCTGAATGCTGGCAGTGCCCTAATTAACTATGGTCGCCGCTATTCCTGGGGTGAGCATCGTCGAACAAATGAAATCTTGGGAGTGGATGTGCCCTTTGACCTTAGCCGCTTAGCCCTTTAGCATAGGTAGTTTGTTCTTATGGGGAAATTATCATCCCTTGTAACACATATTTTAATTGTTCAACTTGCTTAATGTCGCTGTGTTGTGTAGAACGCTTTGAGCTTATTCCCAGAAAAGCATTAGAAAGCTGTTCCGGAATTTTTCGTCTGACAGTGTAACTACATGTCGCAAGCATCACGAGGTACTCAATAGGAAGATAAGGTTGGCTATTTTTGAAACTGTGTTGCAAGTTGTTTGCGGGACGCATGCAATTCTTACAGCCTACTTTTCGTTCGCTTGGGGCAATCAGTCCACTAAGAACAAGGGTAAATAGAAACTGATCAATCACTTTTGTCATGAGTGCACAGCACCTGTTCCAAGAACTGTACCCAAGGAGTGGCCAAGAACATAGCATGGCTCTTGGTTAAGCCTTTTCCGATCCAGTAAACTGCTTTCTTTCAATCGCAGTTCATGCGAAACAACAGGCGGTCGGGAATATCTTGAAGTTCAAATATTCGCTGATGTACACATAAAATATTCGTCATACGCCTCAGCAAACGGGGTTACTTAACTATGTCAAAAATAATTGGTGTGGTAAAATAATAGATTCGCAAATAAATATATGCGTAGTTTATTGTTGCTACTTATCTCAATGTTCGTACCTTCCGTTTGAACAGCATCAATCGTAGTAATAGGTAAATGATTGGTAATATAGCCTTCGCCCTGGGAGCGTTTAAACCACACTCGTCATTTTTTTTTGCGTAAAAGAAAATCGCGGCGCACAGCGCAGTAAATCTTGCCATAATCTATAAATTCAATAGCATGTATTTTTCATATACCTACCTATTGATTCTGATATTTTTTCCAACATCAATTTTGCATCGTCTGATTAATTAATGACTGCAGTTCACCTACGGACAGGTTATCACTGAAAACTTTTTTACACCTTCCTCGGGTGTAAACACCTCAGGAGGGTGTAGCTGAAATTCTGCGTTTTTTACCCTAGTCTGAGGTGTAATATTTACACTCAAATAAAGTGTAACAAGACACTCGCCCGGGGCGTTGACTTTGCACGTTTACACTCTCCACGCGGATGAAAAAGGCGGGTACACTCGTGATTGACCTTTTACTGTAGTGTTACACCTAGAGCAGAGCACGCCTTCCGAGTGTATATATCGATCCGATTTCGGGTGTTGTTGATTCCAGATCCCCTTCCCCTTTCCTCCCCCCTTTCCCCTGCACCGGTCGCGCTCACGCTCTTTACGAAGAATAAACACCAGTATAATGTCAGAATATTTTAACGTTTATTGGGCGTTGATCCGTGCAACAAGTACATACATGGAACGGCGAGTCCTCTGCAGATATGAACCGGGGCTAGGCGTTCGAGTCCAGCGCCTTCGAGCGCGCTCCAAAAAGATAGCGATGTTCGTGATGTACAGCTCGTCCTGCATGTTCGCCATTGTTTGGAATTTGGCGATCTTCTCCCTTTCGACTCAAAGCGCGCCATCTGCGATGGTAGACGGTCTGTTCGTTGTCGCAGGGCCAAAAACGACCTGCTCCTCACGCATCTCGAGTATGTAGAAGGTATTCGAGTTCCTTCTCTGAAACACACATGGGAAGCGAAATTACTCATACTTGCCGCTGCCAGAAAGTTAAACCCGCGCCCGGGTGGGCCTCTCAGCCAACTTCGCCATGGGGGGGAGGGGGGCACACCAGATTATCTAAGAAAGTATAGCTAAGACGCAGACAAAAGCAACAGATAGCTCGTTATAGTTCGTTCAGAATCATTCAGGTCATTTTTTGATCGGGTCATTGCTGAGGTCACTGGAGGTCTCCAAACGTAAAAATTTCACGAAGTTCTAGTATTAAACAAGGATGAAGCAAAAACCAATAATCCTAGTGCCATAAATATCATCAAGAGAAGCAGAGCAGTGCCAGCACCACGGCGCGCCTAATTTTTCCCATCCCTGCATTACAAATTAGCTTTGGAAATCACGCACGTCCTAATTTTTCGAGAAAAAGTATAATCTCGAAAATGCTGTCATCTACTTACCCGTTCCGGAGCAGGTGGGTCTTCCTCAATGCTCAATAGTCACACCAGCTCAGCACACTAACAACCACGTTCGTTGAAGCACAATGGCGCACTGAAAGCCGCGTGGGTGCGAGCGGCGTCACGCGCATGCGCCTTTGCCGTCCGGTACATTACACTTCAGAGCAGTGTTGAGCCAAGACAAAAATGCGGCAATCGCAGATCAAGGATCCTTTGTCAATAGCACAGCACACATGAAGCGCGATCATCTACACTACAGGAAGGTGTTATTCGTAAATGAACAAAAGCTACACTGAAAATAAATTCACACCCGCTCCTGGTGTTTACACCTTTTTAGGAAATGTTTACACCCCACCGTTTTTGAGCACCTGCACCGGTGTAGTTTCAACACCAAGTTTTGGTGTAAGCATACACTGAATCCTGGTGTAACACCAGGCATATACACTGGCGTATGGTGTTAAATCACTGTAAGTACACCAGTTTTTGGTGCTACACCACGTCTTTACACCATAAAAAGGTGCTACACCATTAATTTGCACCTTCTTTACGGGTACAAAACAAATACCTTTACACCAATGTGTGGTGTTAGCAGCCAATTGGGTACACCCCCTTCCGGTGTTGTGAAGGAGATACACCGGTGTTTGGTGTAGCTGCATCTCGATGAATTAATAATATATACATATATATATATATATATATATATATATATATATATATATATATATATATATATATATATATATATATATATATATATATATATATATATATATATATATATATATATATATATATATATATATATATATATATACTTATACGTGTGCATGCGTCTGTGTGAACATATGTGACAAGTCCATATGCGTATACTGTCGCTTGCCATAGACCCCATACAAAGCAAAGCATTCCTTAAATAAAGACAATTTATTTTGTAGCGTCCGAGACGAGCAATAAACAAATGTTATTAACAAAAATTGCGGCAACTGTGAGTGGCGCTTTCTCAAGTGCACGGGTGGTCACCGGACTCTGTTTTTTCTAAACAATCTTGGTATGATAACCAAAGCACTATGGTAAAGAGACTCCGCGCCGCCTGGAGCCCTAACTCACAAGTCACAATGAACAGGAAAGCAGGCTCATGAACTCAACTGAACGTCATCTTTTTGTCACCTACTTAGTTGGAGCAGTCAGCCTACTCCAGGCAGCTCGGAGCCTCTTTGGCATGGAGCCTATCTCATCCGCCCTCAGCACATGAACGTTCATGAGGGTGGCCGTACACTGGCATGCCGTGAATGTCATTGTCTGTGACAGGACGGAGAAAACGATTCCCCACAGGAGCAGTTTGTCCTGGCTGCTTAGCACGTTCGTCTTCACGACCTCCGTTTTTTTCCACACACAGGTTCTCGCCCACAATACAAGGCCACGCCTCCATGTTTGTTGGGAACACCGCGTCGTCCTCACCCAGCAGCGACAGCAGAGCTGACACAGTATCATCTGCAAGGGAAATGCACTGACTTAGCTTGCGCTCCGCAAAAAATATTTTTCAACATTCAGCAGTCAGTACCTTATCGCTTTGAGAAACGTGTAGAATGAACTCACCTCCACAGCCGGTCTCCAACTTCACGCGGTCCAACACGTCTCGGAGACGCTGTGCGCAGTCGGCTTTGACATCTCCTTCCCAGCCTGTCAGTCTACCGAACTCTTTCCACATCTGCAACAGATAGTGCACATTTACTAAAATGGTGTATGTTGCAACTTCAAGTAAACTCACAGTAAGGCATAATGATAGTTTAAGGTGCGAGTACATGTTTCAGTGATTTACTGCACGAAGGTCAGCAGGTTCATTTTCAACTGTGGGTAACGAAGATTATTACCCTTGAAATAAGCTGAGGAGACAGTGCCTAAGCTTCACTGAGTGCAAGCGTTGATATTACACTATTACTACCTATCTCAAACCACCCCTGGCAGTGCCAGGCTGGCACTGAAGAAAAATATGATAAACAAAATATAAAAAATAGTAGATGTTTCAACACATATCTTTTAACCCGCGCCCCAGTGGCGGTCTCAGCCAACTTCGCATAGTGGGGGGGGGGGGCATATGTTACCACCCACCTCTAACTCAGAAACTAAGAGGGCTAGAAAGACGCGGTAAAAAGCAGTCAATAGCGCTCAATGCGTACGTTTGAAAGTATTTCAGTCATTTTTCATCTTAGAGCAATATAGGGGTCACCAGAGGTCATCAAAACTCAAAATTTGCCATTGTCATATTTTAGAAAACATGCCGTTATCCCAGGAACTATGATACTACAAAAACGCATGGAAAAGCAATCGATAGCTTTTGAACTTTTCTTTTGATAAGGTCATCATCAAAATTGACCTCAGGTCAACATTTTAGCCTCCAGAGGGCAAAAACTCGAAAAATAGCTGTTTTTACGAAAAGTGTTTTTTTTTTCGACAATAACTTTTGACTTAAAAAAGCCACGACATTTCTATTGCCAGGATTGTGTTCCTCTCGCCGAGACGCGTCGAATAAACTATAATTTGACCTTAAAAGGTCAACTTGAAAATTTGACCCCAGGTCAAGGTCATGACCTGACCGGGAAAGGTCATGTTGCATATCAGTCGATGCGTCTCAACAAGACAAACACAATAAGGCCATCCCCAACGTTCTATCTCTTTCCAATCGAGAGTTATTGGCAAAAATCTGTTTGTAGCCTCAAATGATCTCGGATGACCTTTCTAGAGGGTATCAGCAAAAAGGACACCTTGGTAGTTGGTCGTCACGGGTGGTCCAAATCATTGTGATTCTGAAATATTTAAACTGTTGCTACGCGTACACACAGATCTAGAGGCATTTTCATTTGTCTCCATTGACTTATAATGGTAAGGTCACGCCACTGACCTGACCTTAGGTCACGGATATAAAAAATCCGAGATATACACATTATAGGCGCCTATAACATCATGCAATCCACCAAGTTTAAAACCTCTCTGCCAAACACTGCAGGCTGGACATGATTGCAAACTTGTTTTTAGGCTTGGTCAGTTTGCTTGACCTGGTGACCTGACCTGACATGACCTGGGGCCCGAAATTTTACACATTGTCCAGAATTGATGTACAGAAAGCTACTTTAAGCGGCGCGGCCCACGGTTTTTTATTCACACGCAAAAAAAAAACGCGACAGGGTGGTAACATATGCCCCCCCCCCCCACTGGGGTGAAGGTTAAACATCGAAACTATGTAGTGGATGCTGATTGCTGATCCAAGGTGATAAAAATTTCATGCATTATAGTTAGATTTCGATTCAGGCCACGTTTCTTTTACCCTTTTGTCCCTTTCACGCATTGCTGCAAAATGTCGGGAATTTACTTTTACATTTTGATACTTCTGCGGTTTAATTTTGGCTATACGATTAAAAATAAATGCTTTTGAAACGTGCGAAGCAAAAGAAATATGCATAATGCCTCTGCGGATGAACATCCTACAAACGTGAAGTCGGTACCGATTTCACGTTTGTAGGATGTTTATCCAAGATGTTTGGTCGATATAAGTGAAAATAACTACATACCTTCATCCTACCACGCAGCGTGCAGGGGGGTGTACGTACGTTGGGATCGGTACTTCAATATACTATCTCTGCACCTTCAAGTACCTATCTCACGACTATGATGCACATTCTATGCTACTGGGATCATGAGCATGGTTGAATTAATTCATATTTAAGAATACAAACGTATCGCATTGCACCTACTTAGTATCGAGGCTTCAACATACCAGGCAGCGATTCCAGAATTCTGACTTAAAACAATATAACATCAATTCGGCACAACAATTAACGAAGTAATCAGACACTAACTTAATATCACAAAATCATACCTGTGATGATCCCGCGGCAGGCTCCATCTTCATCTCACACCACCTCCAGTCTCCACACATCCCCGCATCACTCGTTTCAAACTGAAGCGCGAATCAACACGCCGCGCCGCCGTTCATTTGAATTTACGCATGTGCACGCGCAACCGCTCGCGCTGGCTGGCGGCCGGCTGACCTTGAATCCAAGGCCATATCTGATCCATGGTAACGGTGCTAGTAACACCGTTTAGAGACCAATGAACTGGGAGCTACACCATTGTGTGGCGTTTGCGATATAACGTCTCTGTCACGGGGTGTTGACACCAAATGGTGGTGTTATTTATCCGTAGCGTCGGTTGGTCTGAGGTGGCATTGGTGTTAATTGTCGGTGTTGATTTTGAACACCGAGTAATTGCACCATTCTTCGGCGTTACACCCCACAGTTACACAGTTGAGTTGTGTTACACCCTACCAAAACGCCTCTCATTGGTGCTTATTTTCGTGTCACCGGCACGCGAGTGTAAATTTATTTTCAGTGTAGGTGTTAAAGTTCAGAATTGCACTTCCATAAGGTGTTGTATGAGTGTGATTTGCACACCAACGAGGTGTAATTTCGCTTTGATCAGTTTCTAAGCGTAATTGCCGTGTTATAGACCTGCGTATAGTGCTCAGTCTGCTATTTACACCTTTAGGTGGTGTTAATACGGCGATGTGAGTGTAAAAATGCTTTCAGTGTATACTTGGTCAAGTTAAGTAATAATGCCTCCAAAATGTTTTGTGAACCTGTCATTGCTACAGCCTAACACCTAGAAATATAGAAGCTCGCTGTAATGCATGCGGTTATCTGTACCAGTAATTCATGTATCTGGTTTTTTTAGGTATAAAAATATATATATCTGTGACTTCACTTTTATAAGGCAACTGAGGAAAGGTACAAATTCCTCCTGCTTTGAAAAAGAGCTTCAGAAGTGCAAGAAATTTTCAGAAACATGACAACTCTACCCATATGTATTGCAATGGTAAGCATGCAGTTGATGGCAGCGGCAGCCCAAAAGATCATGTTAGGCCACCAAAGGTCATTTACAATATTTCGCAGTTATTTTTGCTAGAGGCATGGTGGAGTAATGAAAGCATCTCGAATGTAACCAGGTCAACAATATGAATCGGCTGATATGCAACATGACCATTTTTGTTCAATCCATGAATTTGACCTTAGGTCAAATTGCTAAGTCGACCTTGCCAGGTCAAACTTTTATGGTTAATTCGACGCCTGTCAATTGGAGAAACACGATGGTGTTACGAAAACAATGGTTGACGCTGAAGCCATTGCAGAAAGAGGAATTATGGCAAAATTCGTCTATTTGGCAGTTTTGGTCTTCTGTGGGACAAACCGTAAATCTGTAGGACTTGTTAGTGAAAGACCTAAGCTTTTAAAGAGCTATCTAATGCGCCTTTTTGCGACGCTGTTGTGCTTTTGGTTCACACGTTATGCGCCGATTGGTTAAAATGTGTCAAAATCAGGAATATTTACGGAAAACATTATCTTTCATGACCTCTCGCCTCTCAGTGACCTCAGCGTTGGCCTTGAGCGGAAAATGACCTCCGCGTAGGTAGTTCTGAAGGGACCTATAGGGAGTTTGTCTTTCTGCTCCTTAGTTTTTTTTTATATCAACTAGTAGTTCACCCCCCCCCCCCCCACACACACACTCACTATGGAGACAGACTCACCATGTAGGTACAGACATACACAGACTCACCATGGCTGAACCCCCACGGGCACCCAGCGAGTTAGATCGAATAGATATGCCCATCAACTTTATAATTTCGTTTGACAGAGCTTCTCAGGAATTGTTGATTCCGAATGCGAAAATATGCATTTTTGATACAATATTTTGCTTGTAATGAATATGTTTTCACTGTTTATTCGTCGAAGGTTTGGAAACTCCAACCTGATTCGACGGCTCTCACAGCAAACATGTTCATACATCAATCACCAATGAGGAAGCGTTACACCTGCCACCCGATTTAGCGTCACACTTTTCCGATCACAGTCGCACCCATGTTTCTTTCTTGTAACATATCTGCGGAAATTCGGCTACTGATTTGAATAAGTGATATAGGCTGAAAGGTGTGTCGTGACTAATCTGGATTGCGATGCCGACATACTTTCCCCAGACAAACAATATGTAATGACAATATTTATCATGTTCTGCTGGATTGATGAGGGATTATCTTCGATTTACGTTGTAGCTATACTTCTCCGTAAACCAGTAATGCTTGCTAAACTATGTCGTCTGAGGGCATTTTCTGTCTCCACCGGCGTTTTTACTGCCGGGCCATACATGGCCTTTATGCCGATCAGAGCTATCGTTCAGCCATCAATAGAACGGCGGGCGGCGGCGGTGTGATCTGCAGAGGCGCGGATCCACTCAGGGTGTTTGGACTTTGTGCACCGATATAATCCTGCAGTTCGCTGTCTAATCGGCTCAAACTGGTACGAGGCCGATCACTGAGCATGGTTCGAAACAAACAGGCGCTGATCGGACGGATTGCGCCTTTTCTCACCGCAATATTGACGAATTGAACGTGGATTCATGCGTCGCAAATAATTTGCAATTTTTATCCTGGGACTAAAGTTCTGAAAGAAAATGCGTCTTTTTATTTTAAAGACTGATTCTTCTCGCCCTTCATGTGGAGAAAAGACTAGGTTCTGAACTGGGGCTGTCCGTCTAGTGCATTTTTCCTAATAAATACCGATTTTCTACCTAAGTTGTTAGACTCGATCAATTCTTCTGCAGCGCCAATTCGATATTTTTCGACATATGAATGCATTCGGCGCATTTTAATTGACCACCAATTAGTGATAATCGGTGGTCAATTACAGATTTTATTCAGTACAGGCTCATTTACTACAGATTTATTAGCTCAGCTTACATTCTAAATAAGTTTCAATCCGTGCTGTCATATCGCCATGATATCAGTACATTTCAATGCCTAATCTCGTAAGTAACTATCGGGGAAATTGCCCGAGACAGGGCTTCGCCGCTCGTAGCCCGTGGCGGCCGGATCTGCGATGGGGACACACGCCTGACAGGCGCCACAGACACGCTAATCGTCCACCAGACATGCGCCGTGCCATTACTCATCAAACATGTACATAAGCCTGTTTTGGTGCGAGAAAGTCCCGGGATTCCTCACATTCCGGTGGTGAGCGATCCAGTGCTCGGGTTAGGCCAATTGTAATTCTGTTAGGTAATGGGATTACATGAATTAGCCTCGTAAGCTGCTCTTATTTTCGAAGGTGCTTTAGTAGGGGTAAGCGAGTGAAGCTGTATCAGCATAATGATTTAGATCCTAACAAGTGTTTTCCAAAGACAGATTTCTTTGAAGCAGCTAGCTAGGTGTCTGGACTGGTGAGGAACGTCCTTGCCGATGCAATCATAGATCCGGTGAGTGCTGGGACAAAGGATCGTGTTCAGTGCCCTCTGCGAGTTTCCCATCCGGCACAGTCGGAATTACCGTCCCAAACGAGAAGTACCTATCTGCTCTAACGTGTGACCTTCAGCCCTCATGCACCGAGAGGAACGCATAGCACTAATTTTGGAACGGATTAGGATACTTCTTTCTCAAAAGGTCTATTCAAATAGTTTAGCAGTTCGATGTTGTCCCTATTAAACATGATAGCTGACAGTCTTGCTAGCAGTCATGCCTATCACTGTCTCAGATCTTATCTTCATTAGCAATTTATATTATTAGCCCAGTAAACATGCCGACGTCGGCCCGACGTCGGCCGACGTCGGGGTGACGTCGGCAACTAGGCATCGGCCGACGTCGGGTCCAACCTCGGCACGACGTCGGCTTGATGTCGGATATGCCCGCATGTACCGACGTCCAGCCGAGGTCCAGCTGACGTCGGGCCGACGTCGGACCGAGATCAATTGCTGAGATCCAGCCGACGTCGGGCCGACGTCGGGGCGACGTCGGACCGACATCGGCCGCTGTTTTGACCGTTAAAATAATATAAAATACATGTTTCATGTTTCATAAACATTGTGGGGTCGCCCTTTCCAATAAGTGTCACGTAACAGCAATGGGACCAGGGACTCTATATGAACTGGAGCTGGACCCAGGGTCCCAGGGTGCTCGCCAAGAAGACCAATGTCTCCATCCTATCATTCTTCCGGCTCTGAAATGGTCTTGTCAGACCGAAAGGGCATAACCCAACAAAACAAACTGAAACCGCCATCTGGCTGCGTGGTGTAGGGTGGTTAGCGAACTAACCTCGCGGTAAAATGACACGGGGTTCGAATCCCATCGCCGGCCGATGCTTTTGGCGTGTTGTCCCAGTAAACATGCCGACGTCGGCGACTGGGGGGCTCGAATCCCGCCGCCGGTTGATATTTTTGGCGCGTTGTCCCAATAAACATGCCGACGTCGGCCCCGTCGGTCCAACGACAAACGATCTCGTCAACCTCGGCAAACGACCTCGGCCCGACGTCGGCTGGGCGTCGGAACATGCGGGCATATCCGACGTCCAGCCGATGTCGGGCCGAGGTTGAACCGACGTTGGGCTGACGTCGGCATGTTTACTGGGAGGCGCTTACTCTTGCACAAATACGCAAATTGTGCGCACTTGTGCAAATACGTGGTCATTAAAGACGTTAAAGAATAGAAAAAGGTGCTCATTCGGCGCGGTTTTCTTTTGTATTTAATTATCATACTGCTTTACGCGGTCAGCCGCACTCGTTACTCCACAGTCCACCAAGACTGACACGGAGAAGCGACACGAACTATTTTGACTTGGTTGGTCCGTGTAGACGATACGGTGCAGTGGCAAGTGCGTGTGCGAGGTTCCATCGACTGAACCCACCTCCGTGGTTCTCTCGAGGTTGTTTCGGTAGCCGCTATTAGCCGCGACGAGCAAATGTGCGACATGTGTTTTACATTTAGTTGTTGCGCTTCACAGTTTACGGTGATGGCCGATGGGGTGTCAAGCCACGTTAAATTTATCTTTATCTTTTGTTTCTAAAAAAAAACTTGGCAGGCACGCTGCTCACGAGATTTTTCGAAACGTGAGGAGCGCAAGGTCCATCCGAATGGATGGTGAGGACGAGGA